TGGTAGCCTTTGTTACGTTGGTCCCAGCTCTCTGCAGGTCATTCACTAGGTCCCCCCGTGTGGTCCTGGGATTTTTTCTCACCGTTCTTGTGATCATTTTGACCCCACGGGGTGAGATCTTGCGTGGAGCCCCAGATCGAGGGAGATTATCAGTGGTCTTGTTTGTCTTCCATTTTCTAATTATTGCTCCCACAGTTGATTTGTTCACACCAAGCTGCTTGCCTATTGCAGATTCAGTCTTCCCAGCCTGGTGCAGGTCTACAATTTTGTTTCTGGTGTCCTTCGACAGCTCTTTGGTCTTCACCATAGTGGAGTTTGGAGTGTGACTGTTTGAGGTTGTGGACAGGTGTCTTTTATACTGATAACAAGTTCAAACAGGTGCCATTGATACAGGTAATGAGTGCAGGACAGAGGAGCCTCTTAAAGAAGAAGGTACAGGTCTGTGAGAGCCAGAAATCTTGCTTGTTTGTAGGTGACCAAATACTTATTTTCCACCATAATTTGCAAATAAATTCTTTCCAAATCAGCCAATGTGATTGTCTGAAATTTTTTTCTCATTTTGTCTCTCATAGTTGAGGTCTACCTATGATGCCAATTACAGGCCTCTCTCATCTTTTTAAGTGGGAGAACGTGCACAATTGGTGGCTGACGAAATACTTTTTTGCCCCACTGTATATATATATATATATATATATATATGTATATGTGCGTGTGTGTGTGTGTGAACCCCACTCCAAAAATAGACATGATTGAGTTTGTATGATGTGCTACAATACCCCTCCCACCTCATCGGCTCAATGTGTGGTTACATCTCTAATAGATAAATGTAAATATCAATAACAAGTACGTCATACAAATTCAATCACATCTATTTTTGGAGTGGGGTGCACACACACACACATATATATATTTTTTTTTTCTTCACATTTATAGGAGTGGCAGCGCAGCATCCTAATTGATATATTATCATACCCATTTGTGTTAGATGCTAGCAGCAGCCTACAGATCCTAATCTTCCTGCTGCACAGGGTTTTTCAATATAGAATTCTCTAGCTGTTTCGCTAATCTTGCTCACAATTTTGTAAACCTGATCTTTGCAGCAAACCCCAGTAAAGTCGATGGTGGCAAATATTTTTATTAAGTTTAGGCTAGTAAGATATCTATTGTAAAACAAAAGGCATTGGAAGCTGGGTACTGCTATAGGGGACATGTACATTTTTATTTTGAATTGGTACAGCAGCACTACATAGATACAGCTTTGAGTAGCAACTTTGAAAATAAAAAATGAACAAAAAAATGAAAGCTGTGCATGGTGTTATGGAACAGAATATCAACAGTATATACTATGGCTCACCAATGCAAACTGCGATATAGCACAGTATTTCCCCCTAAACAGACTTGACAGCTAAAAGCTTCAAAGCACACTTACAATATGGCTACCCTTTTATAGTGGGGGGTGGGGTTATCCTTTCCTTCAGATTATTGGTTCTTGTGACTCAGCTGACCAGGAGCAAAGGCAAAGCAGTGCATTGTGGGTTCTTCCTAATTGCTGTCTTTAGCATTTAGATTCAAAGCAAATCTTATGTGAACTCAAACCTCTTGAAAGATGGATGTCTACATTGTGCACAAGTAAAAAATAAGAAAAAAAAAACAACTATCCAACCAGAATTACTCTTGTCAAACTAACCCTGATGACAAATGGTTTAAAAGACATGAAGACTTGTGTACATAGAAAAATATACAGATATCCACCAAATTTCGTTTAACCGGGTGGTAGATCCATGTCCTCAGCAGGAATGTGTGACTCCACATAGACAAGAATATACATGTGCACATTTCACATATGGGAAAATCCAGCCAATTCTGTCTGTACTTCTATTTGGGTGTGTTTTTGCCTCCCTGAGTATCTAGGCATTCCATCAAGTAACATTATGAACATGAGTCATGTGACATGGGTGACATCACAGAATCAAATATAAAAGAACAAAGAACAAATACATCTACAAATTCTTTTCGGACACCTCTTAATGCTACCAGTATTTTTAATTTGGTTGGCTATACTTGGTTCAGGGCATTTCAGATTCCTAAGTAGCTAATTTAATGGACAACTGCAGAGAAACACAAAACTCTGCAATAAATATACAAAGTAAAAAGCTACAAATTGGCATAAGCTTTTATTTTACTAAATGCAGCATACTGTACAAAGTACTGTAAATGTATAAGCCTATACCAGGAAATCATGCCTTTGTGTAAATGATGGTGTCCTTGTGTGTTCATCTTAATGTTTTCATGTATTTAGTTTGATTTCTGTGTGTGTTGGAATATGCATACTTACCTACAGTAGTCATATGTAGCATCCTGGAGGTTGGATCCTCTTTTTCCCTTTACATCCACCAATGATGGGTGGAATTCGTACACATCAAAGCAAATCTTCCGTACTAACTGGAGGACTTGTGCCACTCAAGTATCCAAGAGGTTAGCCGTGGATATTTTCCATGCGTATGCAGTGTATGTAGACGTTAGAGAAGTTCTAATATAGCTAAACCTTCAGCAGCAATCCTACAAACACTGGGTAGCACTGTAGCATCCAGCAAGAACTAGTTAAAGAAAAGCTTCACTTAGTGAACATTTCATTAAAATAAATCTTTTAAATACCAACCTTCAGCCCTGCTCTTGAGTTTTGATCCTGCCTGACACCACACAGTATTTGCATCTAAAGTATCCTTGCTGGGTCCTCTGACTAATGGGCATGTGCACTACAGCCCCAGTTATTCCTATTGATGGTCCAAAGTCATGGCAGTCCTCATTTATACAGCAGGGTTCCATCCATCTACGGCATTCATATACACTAGGTAGAGAACCCAACCAGGATATTTTGGCAGTAAAGGCTGAGTAACATCTGGCAGAGACACACAGTGAAGGAAGATTCGGAAAGAAGGTATTTAACTATGCAGCTACACTCTAGGGGTGGGAGATTTATTTAAAGGACCAAGGGGACACTAATTACAACCATCCTGGATGTCCTGAACTGACAAAGATAGGAGAAAGGGGACATGACTGGGGCAGGTAGAAAGGGAATTGGGGTATACTGAAGTAGTTTAAGATAGGTTATTAGAGGAATTGGCTGGAATTTAGACACCTTACTGGAGCAGGTATAGTTACGGAAAAAAATCAGGGTCTGGGATAGCAAATTAGTTGCTCTCTCCTTTTGAATTGTTTCTTGTTAGGGGTATAGTTTAGTGTTTTCATTAAAGGGCACAGTTTGATTTTGAACTGTTGTAACTATACGTGGTTAACGTGGACTTTCCAAAGTATTTCTTAGTGTCACAGCCACTGAAAGCTTCTTGATGGTGCCAATCTGTAAACAGGAGAAAATGTATTACACACAATTAAGTCATTAAGTCATAAGTGATAGGGCTAAGTACCAAGCTGTGGTTACAGTAAGCTGTGTCAGATTTTTCATATGTACCTATGAGCTTGTTGATTAATGGCTGGTATAGTGTATCAATGGATGGTAAAAGGAGTACTGTCAAGGACTGAGGTTATTAAAAAGGGTCTGAATGTTATAGATTGTTTTAACACTGTGTATTTGTTGCATGTTACTATATATTAAAGCCGATTTAATTCCAGAGTACAAAGAACAAAAGTTATGTTAAGTTTTTTCAGGTTGCTTTTACCTCTCTTTCCTTCTCCTGTATCAGCCCTGGCCAGGTCATGGTAGGCAGTGAGCAAGTGTATAGTGACTGCCTGAGTGATGGTAGCTATAATTTCTTAGAGACGTAAAGGTTTAGGTGGACACAGATTGTCTCTTCTTTTCACATGCAATATACTGTATAAATTTGGGTTGATTTACTAAAAGCAAATATACTGTGTACTGCAAGTGCACTTGCAAGTGCAGTTGCCCCAGAGCTTAGTAAATGACGTAAATCTTCACTTTTCAAAGAAAACTCAATGACATGCAAGGAAAATAAAAAACAGCATTTTTGCTTGCACATGATTGGATAATAGAAATCTGCAGCACTTCCCTTCTTTTCAGAGCTTCCGCTCAGATCTAGAGCAACTGTACTTGCAAGTGCACAGACTATTTGCCTTTAGTAAATCAACCCCTAAGTGTTTTCCATTTACCAAAGTCCATTTAGTTTCCTGCCCATCTTCAGGAATAGAACAATTTGTACTGCATGGAAGGATGGAGGTGGAGAGCAGGCACTCATTTGCCCCCTGGACAAATACTAATACAATATGTTAGGCTTGTGGCCCTATTCAGGCATGCAGTCACAGCATCTGCCAAAGAAAAGTCTTCCAGCACAAATTTCCTTTGTGGCTCTAAGATGTTATGACAAGGAAAGCTGAGAGCTCCCAAGGAAGCTGATGCTGGCAGATGTGTAAAGGCAAGCTACAATAAACCATCTCCTCTAGGAATATTCCCCTTTCATCATACCCACCAATCATTCTGGAACCATGGCACAGTTTGCTCGTACATTTTCTTTATTCCACAGAAATCTGTCTCTACCATAAAATGGCCTACTGGTTGTGTTTGCCCCCAAGGCCATATGTTACCTGTTGTCTTCTGACCTATCTGTGTCTCTATGATCAAAGAAAAATCCTTATTTGATTGTTGCTCCTCTATGTTCCTACCTCCCACAGCGACACAGCAATCAATTTGCCAAACCAGAGTTTCACCAGTTTTTGGGTCCATGAACTGGGCTTAAAAACTGCCAGTTCTTTTGGCAGCAAAAAACACTCATTAAGCGCATTTTCGTACAGGTGTTTAGGAGCATTTACCATTTTTGTTTGCCAGAAAACTGCTCTCAAAAATGCAAACCAGAAGGGTTTTTTATGCCTCCAAATGCTGAGCTTAAAATATGCCTTTACCTACCTCCTGCCCGTCATATAAGGTAATGACGGGCACAAGGCGGTTCTCTCGTTCTGGGAGGATGCGCAGCGTGGCGATCGATGGTGCACTGAGTCCCTCAGACACAGCAGACCACTGATCGATGGAAAGAGCCAAAGATGTTGGCTCGGTCATGTGATCAGCTGTGTCCAATCACAGCTGATCGCATGTAAATAGGCAAATGCCGGTTATCGGCATTTCTCTCCTCACGAGCTGTCAATCTGACAGCTCGAGGAGAGTAGAGAGTAATCGGCATTCCGCGGAGGGGATATGCACCCCCCAGAAGTGCCACCTGTCAGTGCCCATCAATGCCACATGCCAGTGCCCATCAGTGCCACATCAATGCCACATATCAGTGCCTACCAGTGCACATCAATGTCACATATCAGTGCCCATCTGAGCTGCCTTTCAGTGTCACCTATCAGTGGCAGTTAGTGCCACCTATCAATGCCAGTCAGTGCCACCTATCAGCGCTACCAATCAGTGCCACCTATCAGTGCCAGTCAGTGCCGCCTATCAGTGCCAGTCAGTGCCGCCCATTAGTGCCGCCTAACAGTGTCGGTCAGTGCCACCTAACAGTGCCAGTCAGTGCCGTCCATCAGTGCCAGTCAGTGCCACCTATCAGTGCCATATATGAGTGCTGCCTCCCAGTGCCCATCAGTGATGCCTGTCAATGCCCATCAGTGCCACCTACTAGTGCCTCTTCATCAGTGCCCATCAGTGCCACCTATCAGTGCCCATCAGTGCAGCCTATCAGTGCCCATCACTGCAGCCTCATTAGCACACATCAGTGAAGGAGAAAAATCAATTATTTACAAAATGTTATAACAAAAACTAAGAAAAAAAAGGTTTTTTTCAAAATTTTCAGTTGTTTTTGGTTTGTTTAGCCAAAACTAAAAAACCCAGAGGTGATTAAATACCACCAAAAGAAAGCTCTGTCTAAAAAAAAATGATAAAAATTTCATATAGGTACAGTGTTGCATGACCGCGCAATCGTCATTCAAAGTGCGACAGCGCTGAAAGCTGAAAACTGGCCTGGGCAGGAAGGGGGTACAATTGCCCTGTAGGCTAATGATTAAATGTCCTAATGTGAATGGACACATAAGATAACAGTAAGTTGCTTCTACAGGCAAAATGGAAAAAATCCTTAGAAGCAGAACTTTTTTAAGCCCAGTGTGCATGGACCCTATGACCATGAAATCTATGGTCATAATACGAGATTTCACCAGCAGTTGGCAAAATGAAGAAAACTTGTCATGGCAGACTTCTGGATGAGAAGACCTAGAGGCTGTGTAAGATGTTTTCTGAAATTCCTCTATATCTGAACTCTTTTTGAATGCATTGATGGCTAAAAAAATAATGATCCATTTACATCCATTATCCTGCATTTTTTCCCTTCTGTATAGACAAATAACCATTCCAGAACTGCAATGGCACAGATCATATTCAATATATCTTTTTTATAGCAACAGTACATGTAATCAACAACATGTACAAGTGCATATTCTTAACCGCTTGCCCTCCTGAGGATTTACCCCCCTTCCTGACCAAGCCACTTTTTCCGTTTTAATTCCACTGTTCAGACTGTTGGAATATTGTATGCGTTTTGTCTTATGATGGGCAGATTATAAAAGTGAAAGCAAACACCTGAAAGACAGCATGTGTAATGTACTTTGTGTATTCAGGGGTGGGTTTGTTGCTAGTCTGTCTGAGGTGGGCTCCTCGATTAACCTCCCTAGCGGTCTGATTATGTCAGTATTTCTGTGCTCAAAGCGGTACATTTTTTTGCATGGAAATATGTAGTTTTTGTATTGCAGGCCTGTAATTTTTAGGAATAACTCACTGAAATCTGTCAAAACAAGAGTCTAATAAACATCCCGGGTATGTTAATATTTGAAACACAAAATCATAAATTATAATTTAATAAATAATCATAAAAAATTAATATAATAATAATAAATTTAATTCAATAATATAATCAAACCAAAAACACTGAAATTTGAAATATAGCGCCAAGTTCGCACATCACTGAGCAAAGTCGCAAAATCGTTTTCAGTGTCTGATGACAATTTCCCCCACAAATCATTATCACTCAATTCTGCAAGTGGTTCTTCTGATTTACTATCGCTGTTCTCTAGCTGGTCTAAAACCGCTTTTGACCTAAAGGGACGCTCTTTGGACGCCATGGACGTTTCTCAGTTTCCAGGCAGAAAGAACAGTAAAAATGCAGGCAGGGCACAGGACAAAGCACTCGAGACAAAATGTATGTGAAATGGTTTGATACAGTAATGTTTTACTATGTGATTTTAAAGTATTTAGTGAATGTCACTTTTTGACATTTTTAAATTTCCCGCCAGTTCCGTCCCCCATACGTCACGACGTCGCAGAGAACGGAACCCGGAAGACAGATGCCGGCATTGGCCGGAGGACATTGCCGGAGACGCTGCAGGGGGGACATCGCGGGAGCGCAGAACAAAGTAAGTGAAGAAGAGATCCCGGAGCAATGCTGCAGGGTATTCCCGAGTGCAGCTCGGGGTTACCGCTTGTGGTGCTGAAACTTTACCCCGAGCTACACTCGGGAATACCATCAGGGAGGTTAATCAAAGCATTGACTGGCTGCCTGGCTGTTGATTAGCTTACTGTTTATTAGATCACTGTTAGCTTGAATAATAACTAAAGAGCTACTTGTAACAATAACAAGCTAGCAAATTCAGCACTCATTAACTGCAATGGAAAAAAAGAAATTTAAGCAATGTTAAATGCATGTCAGTCCATAATGAACTCCGCTTCAAGGAGAGGTGACAGCTGGAACACAGTAGACATAGGACACACAGTTCCGGCAGCACCTCACCAAAGGATATTGGGAATCCCTCATGGATATGCAAAAGAACAAAGCAGGGTGCCAGGTGAATGTAAGATTAAAACAGCAACACTTTAACCCCTTCACACCTAAGGGTAAAACAAATCTTAAAGCGTAAGTAAAATTTTACAACTTTGACATGTGTTAGTAAAACCATACATATCACCGAACTACTTTGTACATCCAGGTGAATTATAACTTGTTTTTCCAGGACAAATTGGGCTTTCATTTGGTGGTAAATGGTAATGGATATCTCCTGTTTTGTTTTTATTATCAAAGGAAAACTGGCCCAAAATAGTAAATAAAAAAATGATTTTTATAATTTATAATTAGCTGTGTGTTTCTTGTTACTACCATAACCTACCACCAAAGAACAACCCAAAATAAATTTTCTAGCTCTTGACGATCACAGCGATACCATATATGTGTATTTTATTTGTTTTTTATACCCAAACTACAGCCCAGAAACAATAGTGCGCATTTTGTTCTTTTAACCTAAAACACACTGACACTGACACCAAAAAAAAAAAAAAATCCTGACCTTTGACCCTGACCCAAACACTAACCCTAGCACTGAACTAGATCAAACCTTGATCTAGGTATTTTTTTTAAATATTTATCTTTTTTTTTACAAAATTTTTTATTCTCTGCAAGGAGATAGAGAGATACAATGTATCTCTCTCCTCCATTTAGAGAGAAAAAAAAAAAACAAGGGGGGGGGGGGGGGGGGGCATTCTTCACAGTGACTGATCACTGCAACAGCCAATCAGAGGCTCTCACAACGATCATGTGACCCGGAATCGGGAGTCCCGTGTCCCAATCTTTAGAACAGGACCTGGGGCTCTCAGTGACACTCTGGTCTTTGTGCTGGGAGCGTGCTGTGCGGTGCGCTCCCAGCACAAAGACAGGTGCGCAAATATGCAGCCCCATGGAAAAAAGCCCAGTTCTGTGAGGCCGCATATTTGTGTTATGATGGCGGAAAGGGGTTAATCTAGCACACTTACATGGAGGAAACCTGTAAACAGCTCTGGTGGTCGGGATGGTGCAAGTACAGCTCTCTCCAGTGTGAATTGAGCTGTTGTGATCAAGCTCTTACCTAATCAGTGTGGGATTTTTATCTCTATGTGTAATATTTGTTTTATAGGTCATGTGGGGACACTGCCCCTATTTCTAGAGTGTATAAAAACCTGTGTTTTCAACAAAGAGTTCCAGTGTGGCATTTAAGCTCGTCTTGTCTAGTCTTGGGTGCAATGCCCAGCTATAATATCTTGGTCCTGTGTCCCATTGGCGAGGAAGCGGTTCTCTGACGGAATCACCCAATCTGAATGACAGGTTCCGTCACATTTGGTGGCAAGCAGTGGGATGCTTCCTGCACTCTGGGACATCCAAACCACCACAGGGATCTGAGGTCCGGTTAACAGAAGAGGAGAGGTACAGACACCAGCCACCATGAAAAGCAATCATTAGGAGGTTGCAAAAGATGCAAATGCAGCACAGAGGACCAGTGCCAGTGCAGGTCCTGCTGGGATGGTATGACTGTCGACTGGTAGCTTTGGAAAGAAAGACCGAGAGCAACACTGCCAAGGAAAAATTCTCCTCCCCATCCAAGAAAGGTACTGGTTGCATTACGAAGTACAGGTGCTGTTATTGGGGGAACAACCGCACAAGGAGTGGACAGGTGAGTTAAGCAGGCTGGTCCAAGCAGAGATGCAACTGGACAAGAGCTACAGAGCCCTCTGTTGGCATGTAGCCCAAGCGTGCCCTTGGACAGCAGATGACAGAAATATTTATCAACCAACCCACCCCTGAGTACACAAAGTAAATTACACATGTTGTCTTTCAGGTGTTTGCTTTTACTTGTATAATTAGTCCATCATAAGACAAAACTCATACAATATTCCAACAGTCCGAACAGTGGAATTAGTTTATCTTCTTAGATTTCTTGAGGGAGATTGTTGATAAATATTTCTGTCCCAAATGGAGGAGCTTCCCCAACCCAGTCCGCATGAGGGCCACATATATCCTCTGACCAGTAACCTGTACAAGATTAATATTACATCTTTCCATCCACTCCAGAAGGGAAGATGTATTGTCTTTATGCAGAGAATTAATCCAAGCCTCGCTCTCATCACGTTGTTGTCCATCCTTAGAGAATGATCTGCTCTCTCCATGGGCCATAAACAGTGGGTAGACGGCTAGCCCCTAGTTCCCTCCAAAAGCCCCTGTCCCGGTTGGGTCTGTCACAATATTATAATAATATACTACACAAAGTATAATTTAATAACAATAATGCAATAGTTTTGCTATTCTACCTTACAATATATTATTTTTGAGAAAGGTGGAGTTGCTCTTAATGTTAAGAGGTACATCAACATATCATAAACTCTATTGTCAGGCTATAAATGTTTTCTTATGTGTACAATCATACAGTAAAAATGTTCTTTATTGTTATTATTATTGTTCCATTCTGATTCATTCTGCTCATTGATATCATGCTGATGTTGTTTTCATATGAAGGCAGACAGTGTGCTCTGTACGATACAGCTAAACTCACAACACTCACAAATGACAGATAGGACATTGGGGGATCCTGTTTTCCAGTGATTTAACAACATGCTGTGAATGACACACCATATTTATATTATAAACAGAATACGTTATATAGAAACTGAGTCATTTTTTAAATGTTTGTTTTCACGTTTCTATTATCATACTCCTTTGTGTGCTAGAGGAAACACATATAACATATACACATAACAGAGATTCAGAAGTAATGTCAAAACTGTTCGGCATGGTGGTCAGAACAAAACAGCAGCAAAGGATGAATCATAGTCTGAATCAAAAATCTAAAAT